TAACCCAATGTACATAGTTTGTATTATTTTAGTTTGACAAGTATTTAAATTTGAGTTCATCTTATTGTTTAGCCTCCCAATAGCTAGTTTTTATTCTATAAACTTTATTATTTCTCTTGTAGAAGAGTTGTATGTATATTGAGGATGCATGAACTTTAGATATATAATTGTATATTTTAGAATTAACTTTTGGAATTATTGATATGTCAGTTTGTATGAAGTAATTGATATTCCGAGCTTATTATATTTCTAATTTTCATAAAATAAGATATGCATGAATATGGAATATTTGAAAATTTTAAAAATATTGGCGCAAACAAAGGCTATAGCAATGCATTTGTGACAGAAGCATTTATTGTCACTATAAACTAATTTTTCATCACTAATTTAAAATGTAAATAGAAATTTAGTTAGAAAATAAAATATAACAAAAAAAAATTTAACATGGATATTGGTGACCATTTGTAGCTACAAAATAATAAATTTGAAGCCAAACATAAAAACTACACTACGTGGCTAATATGTGAACACAGCTACTTGTCAAAGTTTTTGTGGCAAAATAAATTTCACCTTTTGCCACAATATATCCCTTTGTGGCTAAAGTACAAAGGATAGCTACAAAGTTGGTTTGTTGTAGCAAAAGAATAAATTAATTACCTACAGGTATAGATTTTTCGTGGCAAAATTTTTATCAATATAGCCACATCATAAAAATTCTTGTAGCAATATATATTAATCCTTAGCCTTGAAATATTAATGTTTGTAGCTAACTTTTAGCTATGCTACATTTTGCTGCGCATGCTACGGAAAAATTATTGTAGCTAAAGCACGGAAATTTTCATATTTAGCTACGATATACTTCGTAGCTATATATGCTTAATGTTGTAGTGTGTATTCCAACTTAAAATATCGTGGTATGTTTTAGAATATGTAAAAAAGTTTGAGGGTATAGAGTGTAGTACTTTTAGGGTATTTGATGTAATTTTAAAATTTAAGTATATCATGAAAGTGAATCTTACAAATGAGTAAAGCTTCCCTTCAGAAAATTCAGAAAAGCAAAAATGTGAGCAATAGATTATTGGAAAATTATAGCAGTATGAGATTCATCATATAAAACTGCAGAAAATATGCAGTGCGTAGATTATGATGATGATGTATGAGAGAAAACGGTCAATGGATTTTGATGACATCACGGGAACAGAGGCGAAGCCACTTTTTGCTGAGGTTGGATACCGTTCGTTGAAATATTACGAAAAATTACATTATTGTATATAAATAAAATATTAATTTTAAATATATAAAATATATATTGAACATCTTTTGTCGGGATTTATTTTACTTCTTTCAAGTCTGAACACTCTTAAAAAAATTTCTGAATTCGACTCTGCAAGAAAATACCACTTGGAATCGTGACATCAGTGTGATAGCTTAACAGATCGATGGCTCTTTATTTGCATCATCAACTATAACTAACACATGAAATATAATCCTACTAGTATATGATTTGCTGATTTATGGCTATATGCCAAAGATTTTCGTTATCCTATGATTAGTTTCCCAGTACCTGCCTCATCCTTTTCATTTCCTTTTTATCTAAAGTTATTTTAAATAATACGTAGTACTTATCTTTTTCACACTAACAAAAAGAATTGGCTTGTTTTGATACCTATAGGGGGTGCCCAATACGTAGATGACACTTGGCACAAGTCACTATAAGTTACTACTATACTTGTGGTTAAGTCATTATTCTACGGTAGTACATATAAAAGTCTTATGAAGGGGAACTTTGGAGCAACGGACAAGTTGTTTCCATGTGATCTATAGGTCACGTGTTCGAGCCGTTGAATCAGTCACTGATACTTGTATTACAGTAGACTGCTTACAACACATCCTCTTGATGTGCGACCCTTCTCGAACCCTGCGTAAACGCAAAATATTTTGTGTATCGAATTGCCCTTGTCTTAAATTTAAGTTGCATCAACGTGTGATTAACGTTACGTAGTTTTCTATAATGTTGATATGCTTCTCATTATGTCAATAGAAATTAGTGACTTAAAGGCGTTGTCACATGTGTTTATATATTTAACTTTTATTATGGCATGATTAAAATTACACCTACAATAAACTTCAAACTTTTAAGTCCTGAATCCATATAGCATCAAACTAAAATAACAGAAACATGAAATAAATTAACTCCTTTAACAAGCGTGTATAAATGTAAGCAAAATACATTCAAGAGGTTAATCAACCTTAATTACATTAACTTCTGCTAATGCAGTTCCAAATTAAAGTTTTAGGTTGCAATATTACAGATTAACCATAGAAGTACTCAGGAATATTAACCAGAGCAACAATAACAGTTGAAACTAGATAGCTTAAAAGTAAACCGGACCTAAAAATCGTCTAATTAAGCCACACAGCATTCCATGCAACAGATTATTTGCACCGTATGGTCTTTTTTTAGGCCTCTTTAAATTCTCTCACCGTTAGCTAAATGAGCTAAATTTGCACAAATATAGCCCACAGAACTAGTAGGAGACATCATTTAAATAGTGGCCAAAAAAGGCCATTTGTGCAAACCCCCTTATGGAACTGCTTTATTTGGATGACCTCATCGACCAAAACGATGATGTCCCACTCCCAATGGGTGATGTCCAACACCTAATGGATGATGGCCATGGATAGGAACTCCATTTGACTGGCTAAAATGATGAACATTGGGGCTATTAACCAAATGAGCCAAAGCTGTCATGGCATGAGATTGGCCTGAAATGAGTCCTGCAGTTGAAGGATTTTGTGCTAAGATAATTGAGTAACCATCGTCAAAGTTGCTCATGTCTTGTGCCACCAGTTGCCATATTAAGCTCCCTGCCATTGTTCCTCCCGCTTTCGCGAAATTGTACACATTTCTGTAAACTGAGCTCATGAAACTGTCTCTAACATTTTGATTGTATCCTGGATCTTTGCTAGATTTTCCAAATTCAGCAAGCACCAATGGCTTTTTTAATATGGTTCTTGAATCTTGCCAATGACTTGTCATCCACCTTTGCATGAATACTCCTTGAGCATCATCACTTTGTCCTGACAACCTGTTAAATTAAACAAAAATTTCTACCATTATCCTTTTATTTTATAACAGCTTAAATTAATTTTTTAACTAATTACCAAAATATTGTATAATATTGAAACGTTGTATCCGTGTGACTTATAGGTTACATGTTCAAACCATGAAATCAGCCACTGATGCTTGCATTAGGGGTAAGCTACCTACATTACACCTCCTCGGGGTGCGGCCCTTCCCGGACCCTGCGTGAATGCGAGATGCTTCGTGCACCTTCTTTTTTATTTAATGTTGTTTGATTAACATTTTGTTTTGCTTTAGGAAAGTTAGTTACTCTGTATGTGAGGTTTAAAAGAATGTTTATTTACCATTGGTCAGTGTATGCATGTATAGTAGCAAAGTCGATCTCCGTAATAAGATTGCTACTGATGAAATCTGTTCCAACTTGGTAACCAGGATTAAATTGCTTTTTTTCAGGCATTGAGTCGCCATAAAATCCTTCCATTCCTATCTCCAGCAAGTGTTTTCTGTCCAGTGATTTCACAAAACTAGCCATCTCTTGAACCCATCCCTGTAAAATCACACCACATATATAGTCATCAAAAAAAAAAAAAAAAAACATGAGACATTATTATAAGAACATAACAGATGATTAATTTTGTGCCTGTTTTTACTCACATGAACTGTTTTTCCAGAATAATCAGCATCGCAACGAGGCTCATTCATAAGTTCCCATGCCATTATTGTAGTGTCATCCCTGTATGCTATTCCAGTCATGGTATTGACCCTTGTCACTACTTTCTGTAGCACAATATTTAAAAAAAAAAATCAGTTAGTTCCATATAAAATATACTAAATCTACCACAATTTTATATTCAACCAGTCATGGTATGTTTTTTCCTACCTTAACATGGTTTTTGTAATAATCTTTAAGAACTGGATGAGTGTAAAAATCATCATCACTGTTAATCTGAATTCCTGCATTTCTCCCCCATTGAGCATATTGATTTCTCCCTCCAAAATCTTTGTAGTTATTCACGAAGCTCAATATTAAACGTATACCATACTTTTTTGCTTCCGAGATCACAAAATCCAATCCCTATCACAAATAATTAATCCATGTTATAAGCCATAATATAAAAACGATGTCACATAGTAAAGAAAACAAGAAACTTATTAGTCTATCGACCTGAAAAAGATTTACGTATTAGTTATATGCATCGACAAATGTAAATATGTAATTTAACCTGTTATAATAACAGGTGATTTATCATGTTTACTAGACTACTAATTAATGCTTACTATAAAAATTTACCCATAAGTGATCTAATTACGTAAATATCTTATTACAGTGTTAGTGCATAAAACTTTAAAAAAGGGCAGTATTATGCACTAAGCTCCCGCTATGTGCAGGGGTCCAGAGAAGGGCAAGATCACAAGGGTCTATTGAACGCAGCCTTACCCTGCATTTCTGCAAGAGGCTGTTTCCACAGCTCGAACCTGTGACCTTCTGGTCATATAGCAGTAACTTTACCAGTTACGCTAAGACTACCTTTCTGTGCATAGAACTTAAACTCACCTGAAAAACACGTTCATCGTAGACTCCAGGAGATATTTGCAATGCAGTATCACCTCCATCGCTAAAAGCCCAAGTCCTGCATACAGAAAGGCTAGCAGCAGAGGCTTCCTGAAAAACCTCTGAGACTTTGTATCTCTGAGTTGGGTCAGCTGCAACATGCATTAGCCAATACGAGTTGAAACCATTGAAGAGAAATGGTGATCCATTTAGTACAAAATGGGCTCCTTTTGTTCTAACAAATCCTAATTTATTAAGATTCCTAGCTTCTGTTACAAAAGCTAGGAAGAGGAGGAGCAAGGCAAAGAATGAGCTTAATGCTCTAGTAAAAGAAGCCATTAATTAGTTTTCTTAAAACAATGTATTGCTATAGTTTCTATAATGGGAAGAATGATTTTGAGTACCAAAAGAGATGTTTGTAGGACTATTTATAGTTATTTAGAGCTAGGCAGGTTAACTAAAAATAGAAAAAAAGAAGTTGATGAAGTAATTAGGAGGATTTTCAGGAAGGAATTAAATCCTAGTTGATAGTGCTGGTTTACTAAATTTGGCAAAAACGAATTTTTTTTATCTTTAATTTGGTTTGAAGGTTTTGTGGAAAGCTGACAGACGTTGAAAGTTCAGTTGAAGGAAAAAGGGAAGAGATATATAAAAAAATTAATCAAAAGAATGAAAGAATTGAAAAATGAAACAGAGGTGATGTCTTACATGTGCTTATCCATGTGCCTAAATTTTAAGTATGATAAATTCATAGGGAATTGAGAACTCCTTAATATAGTTGAATAACTTAGAAAATAATACCTCATTATTTGAAGCCAAGAAAAGCTGAAATGATCAGCTTATAACTTGGAGAGATTTAGGAGGATATATATGCATGTGAAATTGGGAGGAGAAACAGGAATGAATTTGATGGTGTTTAGTTGGAAAATGCTTTTAGTTAGAAACAGCAGAAGTGGTGTTCTCTAACAGAAACTCCATAAAATATGCATGAAAGAACCAAAATATTTCCCCCATACCATTTTATGTGGCAGCGTCGTTTGACTGAATACAAAATTTAAGAAAGAATGAATGACTTTTGAATTTTGTGATTCAAAACAAGTCGTAGATATTTGTGTGGCTATAAATCATCTCATTCTTTTAGCGAAAGACGAAAAAGGAAAGTGTGCTACATAAAATAGGACAGGGATAATTAATGAGTTGATTGACGGTTAGAGTATAGCCCTCACGCCGGCTCTCCGGGCGGTGGCGAAGCCACATGTATTGAAGGAGTGTCAACTGACACCTCTTCGTAGAAAAATTAAATGGTGTGGCTATGCAATTTTATTTTAATATGTGTATATATGTATGTATATACACACCCCTTGACTTCTTCGTTGGATTTACTTTTTTATATTTTGATCGCTTTAGTGAAAATTTTAGCTCCGCCACTACTGTCCTGGTTAGCGATAAGATGGTATACCGGCCCGTATGGTAGTGGGCGAACTAAGGATTTCGTGTGAAATGGGTGAACGCATCGTTAGGAGACTAAGGAAATATGACTTGTAAAACCTATGAAAATGGCTGATGCGTGCATTCCATGTGGCTAGCTTTGTATAGTGCATCAGCCTCTCTCTACCTTGTCATAAATAATGTTCTTTAATTCAGGCATTCGAACTCCCAGTTGTTAATGACAACTTGTCCTCCTCCACATTTTGAGAACAAATACTAAACTTGGCTGCAAAATAATTAACTCAGGCCAGAAAAAAAAAAAAAAACCTTAAAAGATTAACTTCTCTGCTCCACATTTTGAGAACAAATCTCTAAAGAAACAACGCTGTTTCTACCCGAAATTAGGATTTTACATGAATGGCATAGCCAAAAGATTCAAGATTGTTTCCTTTTTTAAATTAAATTTAATGCTAAACTTGGTCTCAATATATATTCTATTGTAAAATAATGCACCGTAGAGTCAATTGTTTGTTTGAAAGAGATCCTTGACATAGCCCACATGTAGCTATTGGCTAATTCCTCACATAGAACTCTTTGTAACCTTTAACCCCTTTTACTATCAACTGAAAAGGAAAATTAAAATCATGAAGAAGGGGAAAATATGTTCATTCAATTTTTGTGTTGTACTATTGTTCATTAAATTGGTCTAGAGGAATTCCAAGACAATTATTAATTATTGTCACTCTCTCTTATACATTACACATTAGTTGAGTGATGAACTGTTGTATCTTTATATGGTATTAATTAATAATTTTCCACCGAATGAGTTAGCTTTTGAACTCAGTTAAGGTTCCAGGTCCATTTTCTTATGAGTGTGCATACATATTACAATGTGTATGCTTAAAAACTGAAAATCAGAGAGGTCAAATTTTATTTTCTTTCATTTCTCTATTGGTGAGAAAATCAGCTAAAATAATTTCGTACGTCATTGGAAGTTAGAACATGGAAGTAGCATGGCGATTCGGTGGGCAAATTTGCAGAAAGTCTGCTGTTTTAGTTTTGATATCATACCAATTATCCGATAACGAGTAAAACCGCCAAAGCAACGGATCATTTTAGTGACATCTCATTAATCCCAGCTGACGTCTTAAAATGATTTAATACTTGACAACATGTATAAGTGGTTCAATTGAAATATATATATATATATATATATATATATATATATATATATATATATATATTATAAGTGACTATCGATCATCGATATCTCTGTCATTGATTATTAATGTCGTCCGGATATTGTTAGTAAGATTGGAATTGATTTAATAACATAGGATCGTAAAATTACAAGTTTGAAATAATACTACTAGTTTGATACTCAGGATCACCAAATCTAATTTTTTTCCAAGTAATAATGCAATTACATATACTTGAGGTAAATGAACTTCACATTTTTTGTAATGTGAATTTCAATTATGACTAAAATATTAATGGACCTACATATCCTGAAGTCATCACTAGGTCTTCTTAATTAGTTTATAAATCTGAATAAATAAATATATATCATCCAAGAATATCTCATGGAACTAATTCTTTTCTTCCATACATGGCCTCTAAATTAATTATAATTTGTTTTGGCTTCCTACGCCTGAACCAAATGAGCCAAGGCAGTCATGGCATGAGATTGGCCTGTAATAATTCCAGAAGTTGATGGATTTTGAGCCAACACAATACAATAACCATCGTCATAATTCTCCATTCCTTGTGCCATTAGTTGCCATATTAAACTTCCTCCCATTGTTCCTCCGTCTTTAGCAAAACTATAAATGTTTCTATATATAGTGCTCATGAATGTGTCTCGTGCATTTTGACTAAATCCTGGATCTTTGCTTGACTTGCCAAATTCTGCTAAAACCAATGGTTTTCTTAGTATGTTTTTAGCATCCTGCCAATGGCTTGTCATCCATCTTTGCATAAATGCCATTTGAGCATCATCATTTTGACCAGATAACCTATAAATATTAGAATTCGAGATCGTGTTAAAAACAGTAAAAGATCACTAGTACATGCATAGCATATAGCAACAACAACAACAAATCCAGTATGATCCCACGAGTGGGGTTTGGGAAGGGTAGTGTATACGCAGACCTTATCTCTACCTTTTAGGATAGAGAGACTGTTTCCGATAACGTGCATAGCATATGGGTGATGTAATAATCATGTTTCTAGATTTTTTTTAGATTAAGGGATATTATTATAAAATTGAAGTGATGTGTAGTACTACTTGATACCGCTGCTACTCCAAAGGTCATAACAAGAAGTTGGATTATCCTATATTTTCAGATTTATCTTTCACATATAGAAAGCAGTGTATATATGAAATATATAACCTTCGAATTTCTTGACCAGTTTGTTTAAAATTAGCTTTCCTATAAGTCCAATACACTTTTTAACAACCACCCTATATTTATTACCTTCATTGAATATGAGTTAAAAAATTTCCTATATTAAATTTTGAACCCGTAATTTTGAAAGTACTATGTTTGATTATTGTGTTAAAAACTTTAAAGCTAGGTTGAACCCATCAAAGTTAAATCGTGAGTTCACTTTTGTTTTCATACAAATAATAGTATATATCTTAATCTTATTTTAATAATTATTAGTATTAACAAGCATATGAATTATGAAGAAATTAAAACGTAGGGTAATATATATACCATTGGTCAGTGTATGCATGAATAGTGGCAAAATCAATCTCTTTGATTAAATGGTTACTGATAAAGTCTGTTCCAACTTGATAACCAGGATTAACTGACTTTCTGTCCGACATTGAGTCACCATAAAATCCCTCCATTCCTATCTCCAACAAGTGTTTGTTGTCTAAAGATTTCACAAAACTTGCCATTTCTTGAACCCACGCCTACAGTATTTAATATCAGTGTCAAATTTCTGAAATTTAATTATCAGTACTTGAGAAATACTCTCTTTAATTTAATCTTACATTAACAGTATTTCCAGAATAATCAGCTTGGTTGCGGGGCTCATTCATTAGTTCCCAAGCCATGATAGTTGAATCGTCTTTGTAATCCATTCCAGTAATGGTATTGAACCTAGTAATAACTTTCTGCAGCAATTAATAAAGAATTATGAATTACATACCAACGGCTTATATAACATTGGCCTAAAATTTGCATGCATGAGAAAATGTTAAAAAAAAAAAAATTTTTTTAATGAGATCTAGGTTTTTGTTACCTTAATGTGATTCTTGTAATAATCTTTAATCATAGAATGAGTGTAGAAATCATCCTCGCCATTTATCTGAGCTCCCACATTTCGTGCCCATTGAGCATATTGAGCTTTTCCTCCAAAGTCTTTGTAGTTGTTTACGAAGCTCAAGATTAAGCGAACTCCATACTTCTTTGCCTCCGATATAACAAAATCCAAACCCTACATTCCACAAAATACACTCGTTAAATATTAACAACAAACTAAAATCTACCTTAAGATCACCATATGTAAAAACAATGGCATATTTGACATAGTAGTACTCGAAGAGAAAATTTTGTCTCTTATAAAAATATCTTGTTTTATATTGTATGGTTATGTTTGACCGGGAATAAACGTTTGAGAAAGAAATTGGCACAAACTAAAATTACTTGAACTTGTGATCTTAATTGAATAAGACATAGTATTTCTATGACTAGATCCAAGAACATCTCATTAAGGGAAAAGGAAAAACTTCAAAATTAAAGAGTTTCCTAATGTAGTACAAGAATATATCAGACTAAAAATGAAACAATGTCATATAAATTGGAGCAAAAAGAGTACCTGAAAAACACGTTCATCGTAAACACCAGGGGAAATTTGTAGTGCCCTATCACCTCCATCACTAAAAGCCCAAGTCCGACATATAGAAAGGCCCGAAGAAGAAGCTTCTTGGAGGACTTCAGTAACCTTGTATCTCTCACTAGGCTCAGCAGCAGCATGCATTAGCCAGTAGGAATTGAAACCATTGAATAGAAAAGGTGATCCATTGAGTTCAAAATGGGCACCATTGACTCCAACAAAACCTTCATTATTTGCATTGTCAAGTAGAACCCTAGCATCACATGCAAGAGCTAGGGACAAGAGGAAGAGCACAAAAATACAACTCATTATATTAATTTAATGGAGAAATGTATATGTTGTTTGTGTAGTGAAATAGAAGCTGTGATAGGTTAGTATATATTATTGGTCACTTGTTGGGGCGAATATTTATAGTGAGTCGAGCATAAGGAGACTTGCTAAAAATAGTAATACTTGATACCAGGCCAGGTGGGAATTTAAGTTAGAAAGTGGTGGTTTACTAAATTTGGCTGGACCATATTTTCTGAAAGCTAAAGATTTTATGGGAAGTTGATACAAGTTGAGGTTATTTAGTTGCATAAATTACAAACAATTCAGTTGAGAGAATTAGAAAGAGAAAAAGAACGAAAAAAAATTTATTTAAGAAAAGAGTGGTAAGTTGGAACAAATATTATGGGTGATGCCTTGCATGAAAAGAAAAACTAAAAAAATATTTGCATAATAATATGGTTGGTTTTTCAGGTTTTGAACAACAACAACAACCCAGTGCGGTCCCACAAGTGAGGTCTGGGGAGGATAGGATGTACGTAGCCTTACCTCTACCCTGAAAGGGCAGAGAGACTGTTTCCGATAGAGGTTTTTCAGGTTTGGAAGAGTACTAAATTTGATAGTAATAATCAAACATATGCAGAGGTGTAGTTCTGTTGGGTTTTTAAGGTATTTAATTAATATATTAAATACTTAAAAGAGGGTGAATGGGAAATGGAGGGAAATAAAATTTTTGAGTGAAATTTTAAGTTCCCCCTCCCTTGGCAAATGGGCATTGTCCCATATTGGAAGAGGAAGAGGTTTTTTATGGGTATATAAGCAATTGCTCTTCTTCTAGCTCTTAAAGAGTTGAGAAGAAGGCAAGCCTCGCGCCGTCGTCGTCGCTCGCTCGGCTCGGCTTCGGCTACGGCTACGGCTACGGCTACGGCTACGGCTACGGCTACGGCTACGGCTACGGCTACGGCTACGGATACGGATTCGGATTCGGATTCGGATTCGGTCAAATGATCGATTGATTGATTAACTTTTTGGACCAAATTTATTTGTTAATAGTAAAATATTAACAGAAATGTTATTAAATATTTGTTTTAATAACAAAATATTAATATTAAATCCAATCCGTTTTTCTGTTTTGGTAACAGAAAAGTAACTACCCTCTTCAATTTTCCCTCTTTATTTTTCCTCTTTATTATTGAGTAAATGGCCATTTATGTAATGGCATTTATGTTGTGGGCGTTTTGCATAAACAGCCATTCTGAAGAGACCCAACTTTGGCTATAAATACAACACTATTCTGCTCAGAATTTTAACTACAATTTTCTGAGTTTCCTCTCCTTCTTTTGCATACTTTTAGCATCAAAACAAAGCAAAAAGTAAGTGTGATTTGCTACCGAACTTTGTGTTCGCTGAAACACTGGGGTTTGAAGTACCACTACACCAGTGTGTAATTCGTTCTATCCTGGGAGGAAATAATCCATAACCTTGGGTACTAGGAGGGGATTAAATTCCTTAAGGAAACACTGTGAATTCAGTGGGCTCGAATTGGTTTATGTCATTTCTGTTTATATTCATTACTGTTTATATTCATTTATATTTCCATAATTTATTTTACAAATACAGTGTAATAACAAGTTCTACGTTACGTTAGACAAATATAGTTAGAACTTAATCCAGCAGCTAGATTTAGTTTTTCCATTAACTAGGAGAATTTCCTATTGGAGGTTCTTGTTTATCGTTATTAGATTTGTTTAATTACTTAGAATTTTTAGATATTCCTTATAGGCCGTTCAGCAGGGTGGAATTATGAAAACTTTGTAGAAGTTGCTAAATTTAGCTGAAAAATATTGTATATAAAAGCTAAAGTGTTTGTGGGGAGTTGATAGAAGAGGAGGTTATTCAGTTGGATAAAGCAGAATTACTTTTAGTTGAAAGTACGTATAGAATAAGAAAATTGAAAATATATATTCCCTCCGTAATTTATGTGAAAGCACGAAGTTTAAGAAAAGAGAGAAACTTTGGAACTTGTGGTGTAAAATGAGGCACATATATTTTATGTGGCTGTAACTCATTGCATAAAGCTAAATTGTTTCCAAATAAAGAAAGAGGTCATTTTTTTTGGCACAGATTTAAAAGAAAATTGGTTCACATAAATTGAAACGGGGGAGTATATATATAAAAAGAAGAGGAAAGAGGGAAAATGTGTATTGCATCGACAATATATATGTGTCGTTGGTCTCAGAGGCGGAGCTAGGATTTGAAGTTACTGGGTTCGGTGCTCTAGTTCTTTTAAGTTACTGAGTTCTAAATTAAGAATTTGTACATATTCCAATGAATTTTTTAAAGACAAATATAAGGTTTGGATCAAAGTTACTGGGTTCGACCGAACCCTTTAACATGTATGCTGGCTCTGCCCAGGTTGGTCTTATAAGGTCTGATAAGTACTAAATTTTGATGATGAAACATATCCAAAAGTGTACTCAAGCATCTGCAATTAGAGGAGGTTATTAGTTAGATAGATATCTTAGTCTATTTTTCCTACTGGAAGTTCTTGTTCGTTAATGACACACAAGAAGACTTGTTCAAGGTTGAATAAAACATACAAGGATTTATTTTCTTTAACATAAAACGCCCTAACTTTTTTTAACCAAATATTTTGCAATAAACGTAAAAAGGACGATTGTTTCCAAAGTTTTATTTTAAAATGGTACGATATATATGTGACAATATTAGAGGGTTACGGGGTCAATGTTGGTTGATGAGGCTTAATGATAGTTGCGAGCTGGGCGGACCTACTGTATATTATCGTGTTTGTCCAAACAAACTATTACGCATAAATTCATACATATGCCCGTCATTAATAGTTTTGGTCAACGCTTTTAGTCGTTACAAAAGTGACTTATATTTATCTTTATTGACTAACGAAAAATTACTAAATACACTAATTCGTTTCTAATTAAATTCATATTTCAATAAAATTAAAATTTTAAACTCATTAAATTTAATTTTTAAATCCGTCAACTTTGGAAAAAATTGGGCTAAAGATAGTTTGGTGCATCCATGTTCTTTTCATGGAAACTTGTAACTATATTTTCTAACAAATATGAGAGGAAACCGCTTACCTTATTTTATTTGTGAATGATAACTAGTTCATATATACAGGGGCGGACCTAGTGCATGGACTACGGGTTCCCAGGAACTCAGTAACTCTTGCGTAGACCCTGTATTTATATTAAGAAATTCACTAAATATTGGTAAATATCTGATTGTAAACCCAGTTATTATTTTATATTAATCTAAAATTACGGTAGGAACCCATAAGCCTCAAATCCTGGATTCGCCTCTGCATTTATATTGTTGCATGGAAACTTGTAATACAAAGGAGCATGTGCATATGGGTGAAAAAAGTACTCCATAGCAATTAAAAAAAAAGCGTATGAAAAGAGTTATATCCTTAGCACGTTGAACGATTCTTTCTCTGCCTTATATATACAGACGGATCTAAAAATTTTAAAATATGGGTGCACATAAAAGAAGACGAAAAAAATATTAAGTGAGAATCGACTCATGTTACTTTGGATATATAATGCTATATCCAGCTAAGTGCACCATTCAGCCTTAGTTTATGGTCCCAACAAATAATATTAGACGAATTTTAAAAAATACATACATAAAATACTTAGTTTGACAGAAAGACCATGAGTTCACGTGTTCAATAATTTGGGCTATAAATCCCCCCTTTGCCATATAGATAAGAGTGTACCGAAAAAGAGAAAAAAAAAAAAAAGAGGAGAGTTTTAAAGCTTTTTCATAAAAATCAAACTAATTATCCTTGTCTACCTATTTATTTTTTTACTCCTTAAACTAATTATTTTCCTACTCATTGCAGCTTTTGTGGGTAATTGGCTATTTTTTATCCTTTTCTTTTTTCTTCTTTTTCTTTAGTTTTTCCTTTATTTTCTCCGTTTCTGTTCTTTTGTTAAATCATATTATTCTTTATTTTACTATTTTCAAATAATCTGATTCCATACTCAATTCTGGCTCCTTCCTTTTATTTTGTTTTTTCTCTTTTTTCTTTCCTTTTGTTCATTTTCTTTATTTCTTCTTCCTTTTTTAAATAAATTTAGCTCTTTTTTTATTTTACTTTTTTTTCTACATAATCTAATTACATTCAATTTTTTTGCTCCTTTACTTTATTCTTTTTTTTATATACAACTAGTTTCTCGCGACGTGCATTGTATGTGTATGTCAACTTATATATTACGTGGACCGTGGTTGTTAAGAAATATATGTATCGGTGAAAGCTTTAATTTTAATATTTAAAGGGAAAAATATAATTAGGCAATAATTGAGAACATTTTGCAAAATTCTAGCAGTAATGAGTAATTAACAAACATGGCAGCTATTTAACTACATTTCTAACACAATCCCATCAAAATAGGGATTACTAGTTAATAGCACTTCATAAATCTTCCGAATATATTCCCATAATTTTCTCTCCCTTATTTAATGCATTATCTCAAGATGGTCTGATTTCTCCTTCACGTAACCGTTTTTAACTCTATTTATTATACTCGTAATATATAAATGTAATAATTCAGTATGTTGTATAATTAATAAATACATGATGAATAGTATATATTCATAGTATCTTAATGGGACATATATACCTACATGTATGTATGTATGTATTATACTACTATCATACATGACGTATTTATGGTATACGCAACATAATATAGTTATAATATATTATGGTCATTCACAAATTCTTCGGCCATTGTATGTATAGAATTAAAGATTGTATATTAATGTTAATGTTAGTGAATACTTATATATATATAAGTATATAATGTTAGTGAATACTTATATATATATATATGTTACGATCCCAGTTCTCCCTCCATGAACTATCGTGACGGCACCTAATCTCTACGACTAGGTAAGCCTAACAAATGCGGAAAAAGAAACAATTTCGAAAAGAAAATGATTAAAAACCGAGATAAACAAAATGAAACAGTGTTTAAGATACCTCACGGCACATA